AGGAACCTGGAGGAAGTGAGGCATGTCTGGGGGGAGGTGTTCCAGGCAGAGGGAATGGAGTGGATAAAGATGCAGTGGGCGAGTGCACACAGAGACGTGCTGGCCCAAGGCCGGTAGGGGATGCAAGAGGGAGCTGCAAGGGGGACACTGCGGAAGGCTTCATGGTGGGTGGCATGGGAATGAACTCATGGCCAAGACATCCTGGAGAGGAGGTGGGGGAGGCGCGGCAGGAACCCGGGAAGGACCACAGCATCGGCTTCTCCTCCCCATCTACCCTTGGCAGGACCTCACCTTGTATGTTCTTGTACTTTTCAGTGGCCCTGGCTCAGGGCCCAGAGCTTAGTAGATGCCTTCTGGATAGAACTAAACCCATTCAAGAAAATGCCCAAAACCATTTTGCTCTGACCAGGTGTCTCATCACAGGTGTGTGTCCAGCAGAAGACATTTCAAAATACATTTGATTTTAAACCTCACTTCACTTCCTTCTTCCTTAGCACCTCTCTTTTTGCGGGTTCTGCTGTGCTAATAACATCAGGAGTAATCATCTTTTTCAACTTACAGAATGTTTCTCCAATTACTATCGCTGCTGAGCCTCCAAACAGCCTTCAAGGCAGTGACTCTCCACTGTCCAGAGGAGATTGGAAGCACGGGCTTGGCCAGCACCAACTGACAGCTCAGCCCGCAATTCCCCCACAGTTCCTGCCCGCCATCCTATTGTCCACCCTGCACACTGACAGTGAGGTCCTCCTTTCCCAGACAGGCTCACAGAGGGGAGGTCACCTGCCCAACATCCACCAGACAGGCCTAGACGCTCTACCCCCAGCAGAGGAGCCCAAGGTTTTGACCAGAGGCACCTCCACTCAATTCCAGGACCCACTGTGCCAGGACAGGAGGGGGATGGGCTGCAGGTTCAGTGACCATTCAAATGGCCGCCCCCCCATCTCCTCCACCCCGGGTTAAGCCCACGGGCCTGAAGTCTTTTTCCTTTAGCCGCCACTTTTCCTTTAACCCCAATACCAAACTGATCCCAGAGCCCAGGATTTCTGCCCTCCAGTTTCTGGCAGCTGAGTGAAGGAGTGGCTATTCTAGCCCAAGCTTGGAGTTGACCTCTCCTTCTTCTCCTCTCCTACCTCATCTGCCTGTTCCTTCTCATTCTGGTCACTCAGTTATTTGAGTCTCCTTTTACCACAGTTGCTGGGCACTGGAGGTCCACGGGTGAATGATGACCATTCTCTGACCAGGAGGAACTCATACTCCCATGAGGGAGATGCACACATGTCCCCATCTATGCAGTGTGGCCAACTGCAATCTGTTGTGGTTTGGTTGGGGGGGGGGTTCCCAGAGGCTGCCAGGGGACACCTGGCCCAGTCTGGGAGCTCAGGGAAGCTTCAGGCTTCCTGGTGGAGGTGCTACCTGCCCAGGCTGGATTTTAGAATTAGTAGGAGTCTGTCACAGAAAGAGGCTTTTAGACTGAGGATTTCCCAACAGCCTGAGCTCGATGGAGTAAAGATTTTTATTTGGTTTCTTACCCAGTACCTGGAACAATGCTTGGTATAGTAGATGCTCAATAGACATGTACTAAAAGAAAGAAGAAAAAAAGGAAGAGAGGTAGGGGTAGAGAAAGGGAGGAGGAAAGAATGAATGAGTGTAGGGGTGGATGAGTCTAGGGTGGATACAAACAATGACCTGGTGCATTCTGGGGACCAAAAGTACAGTAGTTCCTGGTGGCCCGTAGTTTAGGTGGGTGGAGCTGGGAGAGGGGCCTTATCTCATCCCATTGTCAGTGGTGTCCCTTTCTTATCTCCCCCCTGGGCCCAGAGCTACTTTGAGGATGAGACCATTTTTTCCTCTCGTGGTTCCCCAGTTCCTGGTATGTACACTGAATGTTGATGTACACGCAGGTATCGAACCTGTGCTGGGTGGTGGAGACACACAGATGACTCAGAGTTAGATCCTCTCCCTGCCAGGTCTGGCGGAGGAGACAGACAGTAAACAACACGGGCTACAACAGTAGGCAGAATGAACACGGAGAGCCACTATGGAGGTTCAAGCAAAATGAGACCAAGCAAAGGGATGGATGAGTTTTGTTCCGGGAGTGAAAAGCAAAGAAGTTTTAGAGGAGAAGATGGCACTGAACAGGATGTTAGCCCTAAGGAATGGTCAAAGTGGGATGTTGGGGAGGGAGGCATTCCAGGTAGAGACACCAGACCCAAAGACGTGGTCTGGGGAAGGTGCAGCTGGGGGATTCAGTGGGGAAAGGTAGGCTGGGGTTTGGAATGCTGTTCTTGGGTGTTGGGACTTGCTTCTGATCTGACTGCATCTTGGATCACTGGGTGTATACCTGGTTGGGGCTGCTGAGTGGTCCTGCTTCCCAGGAGCCCATCAACTCCCTTCTCTCCAGCAGGCTGGGGGGTTCCCTGCTCTCTCTGTCTGGGTCCTCTCACTGTCTCTTTTCGCTTCACCAAGAACCTACTGACATGGGGCCTCATTCTGTGTCAAGCCCTAGCAAAGGGCAGACCACAAGGACAGGGTGCCGTCTAGCACAGGTTCCCTGGACGCCACTCCTCTTACCACACATGCTCCCGAAGAAGGTGCTAGTACTTTTTTTGGTGGTGGGGGGGGGTGCGGGGGGTGGGGGAGGTGGGGGGGTGGGGGAAGAAAACTATAGAAGGGAAACCAGCATCATAGAACATCAGATTGCAAGAGATATTAAAGATCTTCTAACCCTCCTTTCCCATTTGACAGATGAGGAAAATGATGCCCAAACAGATAGGTTTGTGCTGCAGGCAGGGCATGGCCAACTTGGTAGACACTGCCATAGTAGAGCCAGAGAAGGGCAGTGTTTTCCTTTAGCCAGGAGCTGACCGATACTCATGATACTCAAAATCTTTGGTCCTTGCAGACCCAAGATGAGTCAGGCTTCTTGTGAGTCAGTCTGTTGACAAGCCATCCTTGGCCATTCCTAGCCCATCAAAAATAGAAGTCCAGGGGAAGGGGATGAACAGGCCAATTTAATTAGTGTGGGCTCTAAGGTACCTTAAGTTAGCCCTATTAAATTAAACCGCCTAGGGGAAAAAAATAACTGTAATTATTTCCTTCTCTCCCCTATCGTTGTATTTCAACTCCCTCCCAACCTCCATGCTTCTCTCATTCACAAAACCACCTTTAAACTAGGGGCTAGCATACAGACAACCATAGACTAGGGTTCAGTATTTCCCTTTTTCTGTCCCCTTCCTCTGCGATCTCTAGGTCCCAGCAGAGAACACAGTGCGTCCAGAGGCATCCGTAGGGCCTGGCTGTATTCTAATTTAGGGAGGCTTGTTACACTGAGTAGAACATTATTCCAAAAATGCACCGAGTCTCCTTCCTGAACCAATGCAGATCTGTTTGCTGCGGGGCATTTCTTTTAAAAGCCCCTTTTCTCTTTTCAACAGATCAGAATAAGCAAACTTTAATGGTAGGGAATTATTCTTTATTTTGTTGAAATTTAGTTCTGAGTTTTCCTACTTGAAACGTGTTTTCCCCAGGACACTGACCTATCCTTTAATTGTTTGGTGCTGTTTGGTGCGAGGCATGTTAGGGGGAGGGGCGTTACTTGTTTATTGGAACAGCGCAGTTAAAAAAAAAAAATCAACCTAGGCTAACAGTTTCAAGGCTCCCCTAAAGATGTATCCAAACAGGCAGCCAATCAGCGCTTACACAGCTTTTTCTGCTTGACTCTTTTAAAGAGACAGTGCCGACAGTGTTTTATCACATTTAAAGAGAACCGCGCTCTAAAAGCAGTCTGAAAATGGGGGAGTCTTCCCCTATTTCGCTGGTTTCTGGTCTAATAAGGGAGTCATAGTGTGTACTTGGGGTTCTCAGCGTGGGCAGAAAGGAGTCAGCAGCAAATAGCTGGGTCACTCTGCCAGGCCCCCCCCCATTTCCCATTGTACACCTGGGTCACTGACAATGGAAGCTTCCCCTCCCCCCAAGCCTGACTCTCACCCCGCTCCACTCCCCAATTTAGCTCCATTTATTTGAAGTTTGCTGATTTCTGTGGCGCGCATTCCACGTTGCAGGGCACCCAGGTGACGCCCCCGTACCCCGGAACGGCACAGTCTCCTGTGGAGAAGCCAAGGGGCTAACTTGCCAGGGTTGGCCGACCTTAGAAATTTGGGAGCAATCACTCTCCCTTCTCTTAGCACAAGTCCCCCGTCCCCTCCCCCAGGTTCCCCAAAGCACGCCAAGGACCTTTTTCGCGCGGCTCCACTTTGGGGCTTTCCAAAGTATTTTAATGATGTAGTAAAGGAGCAGCCGCGCGCCTCGGCGCCGGCTCGAGCCGCCCAGCTCGCAGCGTGGAGCCCCGGGCCCGGCGCTCGGAAGGCGGACTGGGCAAGAGGGAGGGCCGGGGGCGGGGCGGCTGGGGAGCGCACTGGAGTCTGGGGAGGGGGTCGGGGTCGGAGCCCAGGGAGGAGGGCAGGCGAGGGGGAGGGGGAGATAAGGGCTGGGCCGTCGCAGGCCAGGCGGTGGAAAGGAGGGGGGGAAGGAGGTGAGGGGCAGATAAGGGAGAGGGACGTGGCGGGAGGGAGCCGGCTGCGCTCCGCTTAGGGGTCCGCGCCCCCTCCCCTCCGACGCTGCCGCAGCGCCCCCCGCCCCCCAGTGGTCCCCGCCGCGGAGAGCGCCCGGCAAACCCCCTCGTCGCCGGGGCCGGGAGACCAGAGCTCCCCCAGCCCGATTCGAGTCCCCTCCCCACATCTACAGAAAAGAGAGGCGCGCGCCCCCGAGCACCCCCGGCTCGGCCGCAGGAGCAGGGGCAGCGGCTCGGTGGAGGCGGCCGCCTCGGGGACTGCCGCGGCCGGGCGCTGACAGGGCGTCCCTCCCGGCCGCCGGGCCCGCCCCCGCGCGCCGATTGGCCGAAGTGGCCATCAATCGGGGGACGTTGACGCCCGCCTCGCTTCCTCGCCCGGGTAGCCACGTTCGGTTGAGCTCCAAGTAGACCAGCGGCAGCGGCGGCGGCAGCGGTGCCGGAGGCGCAGAGGGCGGCGCAGGCGGAGCCGGGCGGGCGGGCGCGCGAGCGAGCCAGCGGGCGGCCGGGCCGGCGGGCGAGCGGCGGCGGCGGCAGCGGCACCCCAGGCCGAGCCGGCGCGGGAGGAGTTCCAGGGCGATGGGGCCGCGGCCGGGGCTGACGCTTTGACAGCTGGAAAGAGCGCGGAGCCAGCGCCTGGGGGGGGAGGGAGGGGAGCGCGGCGAGGAGAGCGCGAGCGGGCGAGCGAGCGAGGCCGGGGAGGGGGCCGGGAGCGAGGGGGCAGCTCGGGAGCAGCCGGAGCGGTAGCGGCGGCGGCGGCGAGGCTCGGCGCCCTCTTCTCTGCAAACCATGTTTGCCAAAGGCAAAGGCTCGGCGGTGCCCTCGGACGGGCAGGCTCGAGAAAAGTAAGCCCTATTTTCCAAGTGGCGGCCGCGCCGTCGCCGGGCTGCGGGAGGCCGGTGGGAGGCAGGTGGGCGGGCGGGGGCTGCTGCGCCCGGGGCCCGGCGCCGCCTGCCTGGCCCCTTCCCCGAGGCCGCGGCGGGCGGCGTGGGAGAGCCCATTGTTGGGAGGCGGCGGAGGCCGGGGCGTCGGGGGGCGCCGCCGGGGGAGGGGCACCTGGTGGCCGCTGGGGTCCGCGGAGAGGGGTGGGCGAGGTCCGGAGCGCGAGGCTGGGCGCCCGCCGCGGCCGCCGCACTTTGCCCCGCGGGCGCGGGCAGGGGGCGCGTGGCTCCCACAGCCCCGAAGGCTCCTTTTGTCCGCCCGCGGCGTGAGGAGTGCGTGCCGGGGGCTTTGTTCGGCCGGGAGCGCTCTCCCTTGCCTGCCCTCGGCCTCGCCGCCCGCCCCGCGCCCTCCGGGGCGCCGCGCTGGGCAGGGACGGCGGCGCCGGTTTGGCCCTGGGCTTGGGGGACAGTTGCTTGGGGGGGGGAACTGGTGAGGGTGGCGCTTTGCTGCCCTCTCCAGAGCGCGCTGAGCACCCCGGAGTCCAGGACTGAGTCTCCCTGGACCCTCAGAGCTGGAGAGAGGGTGGCAACGAGTGGGTCGGGAAAAGGAGGGAGGCTCAGGGGTCGGGAGGCTTGCGAGTTTGAGAGACCTAGGTGGGTTTGGCCCCGATGCCAGTTGGAAGTTCAAGTTTGGGGGCTGCTCTCTAGCCCTCGCGGCTCGAGGCAACGCGTCCCCTGGTACCCACCCCCTGAATGCTTCCACCCGCGGCCCCGAGGCAGGGCCAAGCTAGCTGCTCACCTCTGGTTGGGGCCACAATGGGACAGCGCAGGCAGGGCTGGAAGACGGCTGGCAAGGTCCAGAAGCGAGCGCCCCGTGTGATCTGACGCGTTCCCTCTCTTTCTGTGCCCCCTGCCCACTTTCCAGGTTAGCTTTATACGTCTACGAATATTTACTGCACGTAGGAGCACAGAAATCTGCACAGACCTTCTTGTCGGAGGTGAGTGGAATTCCCCCCCATCATCCAATTTCTTGACACCCCTTCTTCCCCACTATTCTTAGAGCCTTTGTTTTCAGGAGCAACCACTGTGGCCACCATTTTGAATTTTTATCACCTTTTGGCATTTATTGTTAGTTGGTTTTCTCAGCCTTTTGGCTCTGGGAAGCCCCCAGCCCACCCTTCCTCTCTGCTCCTCTAAGCGGTCTCTGCTCTCTGCTTTCCAGATTCGATGGGAAAAAAACATCACGTTGGGAGAACCGCCTGGGTTTTTGCACTCGTGGTGGTGGTAAGTTTGTGTGATAGTTTTGTGTGTGTGTTTGTTTTGTTCTGAGACCTGGGTCTGGGTGAACAAAGACAGGAGGCCTGGAGCGGACCCCCATGCCTTAGCTCTTGGGCTTGGCATGGAACAGGGCACCTCTGGGCACTCAGACCAGGGCTGGTGAAGGAGGAAAAGGACAGGAGAGGCTGCTGCCTGAAGTTTTTGCCTTCTCTTTCCCCTCCTATTGAGAACCTACTGAATTGTGCCTAGTGTTTATACAGAAACTCCTTTACTTTTCTGTCTTTCTCTGGGGCACCAGGCCGGGGGGGGGGGGGGGGGGGCTTGAAAAAACCTTGAAGGGTTTTTGTCAGTTCTGCATGCTGCTTTAATTAGAGGGAGTGGGGGTGGGGTAGGGTGGAGAGGATACCAGGTCTGTTTTACCACTGGCTTGTCCCTTTTTCTTCTGTGAGCTCAAAACCTTGAGAGAGCAACTCTACTGGGGCCTTTCCCAGGCACCCTGAGAAAAAGCAAGAAGGGGCTGCCACTTCCTTTAAAGATACTGATTCAGACGGACTGGACCTTCCTCTCCTCTGTGGGCCCTCCCCTCAACCCCCAGCATCCCTAAAACCACAAAGTTTCATTTTACCAAGAACCTTAACTGGTTGGCGTTGACCTCACAGAGTGCTTGTGGTTGGAAGTGGTAGTTAGTGGCTCTCCCTTATTTGTGACCCTTTCCCTCCTTTATTTGGGTCCTGCTGGGGTGGGAGATCTGTAGGTCTGGTCTCCTTGTAGGTTTGCGTAAGAACGGAGGCTTAGGGTCAGCAGGAGTGAGTCACTGTGAGTGTAAGACCTGGATGTTTTGCGGGACCGATTGGTTGAGTCTTTGACATCCTTTTGAAAAGGACAAGAAAGCAGAATGGCTTTTGATATTTTGGTGGAGTTCAGAAGGATTGGAGTGCCATGTCTTGGGATCTTAGCGTGCGTTTACCTGACCACCAGTTCAGGTTACTGTTCCGAGTCTCTTTGAAATGCGGGGGGATGAAGTGTCTGTTCTAACTTGCACAGAGAAAATGAGTTTTTAATGACTTCTGCCAACCTTGGAACTGCGGTGTTGGGGCCTGAGGATTCTACCTGTAGGAGTGGGTGATAGGCTTTCTGGGGTTGTTTTTGGAGAGGAGTATGTGAGCGGGGTGGTGCGTCTGACCATCACGGATTTTGCAGAAGCTCAGGTTTAGGAGTAAAAGTTACTGAGAAGGGGCCAGGGAGTTTGTAGCGTTCGAAATCTTCAGTGTGCGGAGAAGTTAATCAAATGTGTACAGCTTCAGGGGACAGAAAAGAATGTTTTTGAGCCTCCTTCTGGAGCTACTAGAAGCCTCCGATTTTCTTGTTCTGTCGGGAAGCGCCACCCCCCCCATCTTGACCTGCCTTTCTCTCAGCCCCAGGAACGTGGAGAGTCTGTTGTGCTGAACCTGAGCAGTGGTGGCTCTGAGTGGCCGTGTCCGTGGTCTTGTTAGTTAGAAGTTGCTTCTGTGCCATTTGACACTGAGCAAATGACAGCTGAGGCTCTCCAGGTGGGAGGAAGCCCCGGCGCTCGGGCGCTCATTCGGAGTTAGTCAGGCCCTGGAATTCAGACACCTTGAGTGAGATGGCTTGTCTGATGACTCGCTGAGCTAGCTGTTGGTGTTGGGGACAGGAGCACTAGACCGAGAATCAGACTTCTGCTCTGGTGCCCGTTTCCTTCAGGTGGGTTCCCAGTCCTGGGCCTTGGGCTCCTGACCCGGAGAGGGTTTCTAAGGCCCCGTATTAATACCAATGACTACCCTGTGTTTGTGTAAGGTTTTACTGGCTGGCAGATAACTTGTAGGTCTGTTCTCATGTAATACAAAGTGTTAGGGTGACTACACCAAATCTTGGAGGGGGAGAAAGCAGAGATATCTAAGCCTTCCTCCTGCCCCCCCCCCCCCCTTTGCTGGATAGGTGGACAGTTGCCTTTCTGGGGAGGGCTATTTTAACATGAAAGGACAAGATACTTAGTTGTGGACAACATCTCCTTTGGCTAATTGACATGCATTCTTTGGGTGGGGGGGATGGTTCTTGCATAAGAATTCCTTGGGGGTGGGCCTGGATGGGAGTGGGGGTGAGATGGGAGGGGTGGGGGTGTGGGCTCTGGGCTCTGGGATTAAGAACCTGTAGGTTTCCTTTATCACTAGTCACCCAGATTGCTCCGCATATGAATTATAGTCCTGACTTTGACAGCTTAACCTTTTTATGAAATGTAGCCATTTTGGTTGGGGGGATGGGGGTAAAAGGAGCACAGATGAAGCAGGCCTGGATTCTTATCCAGATTCCTACCTGTCCTATCTGGGCACCCATAAATGGGTTGTACTAATCCATCCAAACTTCAGTTGCCCCTTGAATAAAGTAGGGATAGTCATCTACCTTATAGCCCTGCGGTAGTTACAAGCAGGGTCATGGGTGTGAGGCATCCAGCGCACAGTAGGTGCCTGATGGATGAGAACTAACGCTCTTACTACAAAGGTCTGGCTTGCCAGAAGAGGTTGGTCCATTGTGTTTTCAAGACCAAGTTTGCCCAAAAGGTTGGAAATGTGGGGTTGGAGCCTTTGGGAGATGCCATGCTGTTAGTCCCGCACATTGTACACTTGTCGTTGGTACACCAGTAATAATTAGTAACCCGATCTTATTTTATTTTTCGACTTGCAGCGTATTTTGGGACCTTTACTGTGCAGCTCCTGAAAGGCGAGACACTTGTGAACATTCGAGTGAAGCAAAAGCCTTTCATGATTACGTGAGTAACAAATTTTTAATCCTGGCAATAATTACAGGGTTGGATAGCTCTAACTTCTTTAGCACCAGAAGCAAATACACAGCCAATTGGCAGTGGTCTTTGTTTTCTCCTGGCCTTTTTTTTGTTCTGCCCACCTCCCTGCTGCCCTTGCCCTGTTCTAACTTGGGGGACGGTGTTTCATAATGTTGTAATTATGCAAAAGAGTGTAGATACCTATCTGGAGGATTAAATGGTGGTGTTCAGGGCTCAGCCATGAGAGGTTGATGTTCAGAGTGGACAGTTAGCTGGGAAAGGACTGAGCCTCCTTGGTGTTGGTTTAATTAAAAAATTGGCCGCCACCACCGCCGCAGAAGAAGCAAATCTGAAACTTGTGTTTCAGAGCAGAAGGGGTGGTTGAGTGAAGTTTGGTGAAATGGCCTGTTTCTTTACTTTCCAGGGAGCAGGCTTTTCAAATTATGGTTTTGTGTGTGTGTGTGTGTGTATGTGTGTTGGAGGACTCATGTTGTGCCCAATAAGATCATGTATACTTTGAGGTCCTTGGCTGGTCCATAATCTTGTGTTCAAAATGTTCTTGTGAAGATAGTTAATTTCATCACCTCATAGCTCTTGCTACCCTATCATTCATCCTCTACCTGGATGAGTTTCTTAAGATTTATGAAATGCTTATAAGAGCGATGTCTGCCGCATATCCATCTCCCATGGCAGTCCCCCTCCAAAAAAAAAAAAAAAAATTAGACTCCAAACATGGGTTGGAGTCAGAATTTATGATCAGATGAAACACGATCTGGGGGATGTGGGAGATGGAAGGGGAAGTGTCTGCGGTTCTTCCCAGCCTCCTTCCAGTCTTCGCTTCCCACTGGCCTTGTAGATGGGGTGTGTGTGTGTGTGTGTGACAGAGTGTCAGCACGCGCGCACATGCACGTAAGAGGTGGTTTATTTGGTCTTGCACTTTGTCATGCGGTGGGTAGGAATGGTGTCCAAGCTCTCGAGCATGGAAGTTGGTTTCTTGAATGTCGTCGGGGCCCACCCACTTTGCCAGGCCGCGTGTGTCCCCTGCGTGCAGAGGTGGGGGACACACCTGGGACACTAGAAACTGGCCTAGGACCCCGGAACCCATCTGGTTGAATTTCACAAGCGGTCAAATCCCATTACCATGCATATCTTTATGGTGACAATTTGTCCTGTAATGCGAAGAGTTAGAGATTCCGCGGGAGGCTCACTGGTTTTGAGGCTATTCAACGGGATGAAGTTTTGTTGTGACTGAAAAGGTAATGCCCTTGGAACAGACTGCTGTGGAAAGGGACCGGTTCTTGTGCCGTCTCCAGGACTGAGAGAGAGAAGCTGGCGAACAGTACTTACGGTCTGGTAAACTTTTAGTAGTTAAAGGTGAGGTGACTGGTTCTCTTGTGATGTGGTTCTTCTGGGAAAATCCGTGGTGATGATCATAGCGTCTCCTGAGCTGGAGGTTGGGGGAGGAGGCCAGAAGGTACATGAGGCATATAAAAATAGTTGGTGAATTTGACCCCTTTTTCCGAGTAAAAATCTTCCTTTTTTTTTTTTTTTTTTTAAAACGTACGGAGAGCCCATTCCTGCATGGCCAGTTTTGCTGTGCAAATGGTTTCGTTTTGGAGTTGGGGGGATAGGCGGACGTGCCTATTTCAAGTAAATCCCTTGATAGAGGATGTCCGTGCTATCTTTTGCAAGCTATCAGAGAAGTAAATAATTTTTAACCAAGTTTGGTGCTCCAGCAAATGATGTAAGGTTGTGGCAATTTGTGGTTTGGTCTGCCACCTTGAAACAATATGGGTGGCCGTGAAAGCTTGCATGGGTTTGCTTTCCATAACTTGTTAGGGAATGGTGGCAGAATTATGTGGTGAGTACTGAAATTGGCGTGGACATGTAGAAGATGCTACCAAGCATTGAGGTCACAGACATGGGGGTCAAAACCCTTTTTCCTAGATTGGAATCCACTTGGTGTCATTGGCCTGAGAGTAAGATCGTGCAGGGGGAGGAATGGAGTGATGAATGGCGGCAGAGAGGGAACATCTGTATGGAGAAGGAGTTACACGGTGGCACTGGGCTGCAGGGGTGACAGGAGCAACTGGTAAATTAAGAGAAATTTAAGAAAATTAAGAAAATGAACCCTCTTTTTTCTTTGTCCTTCTCAGATCTTCATGTGTTCTCTCCATTCCCATGGCTACCATCTAGTTAGCCCTCATTCCTTCTTGCTAGAATTATTGTTGTTGTCTCTTTCCAGGCCCCCTTCCTCTTGTCTGGAATGCATGCCTCTCTTATCCATTCAAATCCTATCCATCTTTTAACTTCTTTGTGGACTTTTATGATAGTTTTCAGCACACTCTGATCACTCCATCTCATTATCTATGGAAACCATCTATACAGAGCCTTTGTTGGCGGCTTTCCATGTGCTGGGCCCCTGTGCTGAGCGCTTTGGTTCAGTCTCTCATTTCAAGCTGCCAGTGGCCAGGTGAGAGGAGTTGTTAACTCCATTTTGCAGATGAGGAAGCTGAGGCACAGAGAGGTTAATTCGCAGCTAAGGGGTAGAATGAGAATCCAAACACAGGCCATCACCAACTCCAGAATCGCTGCTCCTAACTGCCAAGGCTCAGCCCTGCAGGTCCGTGGCAAGTGTCATTTGTTTGCACCTATTCCAACTAACTTCTCTCTCAGGCTTGTCTTTCCAACCACAGCTTATTAATTTTTTCCGTGCCAGACACCATTCATCGATCTACAGAGCTATTCATCTCTGTAGCTCCCACAATACCTTGCACACAGTAGGCATGCGTGCTAATTGAATGAAGGGGTTAAGGAACTATGGGTAAGAAAAAATAGGTAATTTGGGGTCACTGAGGAGCCTGGCCTAGAACAGCCATTGAAATATTGGAAGATGGTTCCTTTGGTGATTTCACTTCTGCTGGGTGATCTTGAGCCAGGTGATTCTAGTGCTGGTTAACTAGTTACCTTACATCTTGTCAATAAGAGTGTGCAGTAACTGGCCTTCCCTTTGCCATTGAGGCGATTCAAAGATTCTCCTAGTTTGTGGGGGAGATTGCGCAGCCCAGGTACCCACCCAGGCCTTGATGGGGGTAGTGAGTATTAAGTGCTTGCAGGGCAGGGGTGAGGGGGGCGTGCCCAGCTGCTGTGGGGCTGGAAGGATCTTTGGAAAGGACCGCAGCTGGGAAGATCCTGGTCTCCACTCTCCTAGGGAAAAGATTTTGTGTTCCTGACAAATTGTCTCCCCTTCCTAACATTGGGGTCAGGGGTCAGGTGATGTAAAGGCTCCTCTCAGGTCAAGGCCAGGCTGTAGGGCCTGGAATAAACCAGGTGACTCAGCGGGGAGGGGGTTTTAAATTTTCTTTGAATTCATGAGTTTTTATTTGAGTCACAGTCTGTCCTCCCCCCACCCCCCGGCCCCCCACAAACACCTGGCACGTTATTTGTAAGCATGAGCGCCCTGATGTTGATCACGTGTAACATGGAGTGTTGGGGCATTCAGTACAGGAGTGGACTTTTCTGAGAAATCAGTTTACCCTAAGGCAGAAGAGCCCCGAGGCCCTAGGAGGAGGCTTACGCGGGGACCCTGCTGTGAGAGTTTTCCACTCCCACCAGAGCAGCGCTTCTCAGGGTATCGGTAAAAGCCCTTGGGGTGCCATTGGGTTCTCTTAGACCCTGTTGTCTGGGGCCTGGTCTTTTGTGGGGTGGACGCTCCCAGTGCCACCTGTGTCTCTCACTTTGGGCCACCTTCTCCGCTTGCCTCTCCCCCTGGGTCCGTGTGGCTGGTAGAAGTATCTTTGGTGCCTTCTGGGCTACCAGCAGCCCTTTCCCTCCTGGTGGTAGCTAATTGTGTGTTTTCCGCTTGGTGGCAAGAAATGAGTGGGGTAGGCAAGACCCAGAGATGTGGCCTCTGAGCTGAAGGTGTTCGAGAGCCACGGAGGCTCCTTGCACTGCTCACATCACTGCAGTTCTTATAAAGCCTTTCAGTGAAGGCCTGCAGTTGGGCCTCGCAGTGGCTTTATTGGTCAGGTGTTATTCCTAAGTTTCAGCCCCATTTCACAGATGAGGAAACCGAGGCCTGGAGTTTAGTTTTTTTTTTTTTTTAAAGATTTTATTTATTTATTTGAGACAGACAGAATGAGAGACAGAGAGCATGAGAGGGAGGAGGGTCAGAGGGAGAAGCAGACTCCCTCCCGAGCAGGGAGCCCGATGCGGACTCTATCCGGGACTCCAGGATCATGACCTGAGCCGAAGGCAGTGCGCTTAACCAACTGAGCCACCCAGGCGCCCCAAGTTTAGATAGTTTGTCCAAGAGCATGTAGCGGGTAGCAGGGGGGAGGTGGTGGTGGCGGCGGCAGAGCTGGGACTAGATGTGGGTCTTTCAGATTCTTCCTCTCAACTTTTGACAGCCCTCATTTGTGAACAGAATTCCTGCTGAATGGAGGGGAGGTGTTTGCGTTTGGCCCCAGGTGCGCCCGTATATAGTCACTGAAGAAATGCCTTCAGCGGAGAGCTAGTCTGAAGCCCCTGCGAGGTGAACTGCAGAGTCACTGGCAGAGGTGGGACGCGAGTCGGGAAGGGAGTTTATTATGGTACAGTGGCTCTTTTGGCAGGGAAAATGTGATAAAAGCTCTGGCTTTTCCTTCCAGAAAATACACGTGTCCCACAAAGGAGACTTTGTACCTGATTTCCGAAGGTGTACAGACTGCTGCCCCTAACCCCAGCCCCTCTGTGATTCCCAGTGAAGAACTTGGGGCGTCGTACTAGACATGGAATCCCATGACCTTAGCGAGCGTTGAGCCTCAGTTTCTCCGCTCTGAAGACCTGAGGTCCCTTTCTGCCCCGCTGCTGTGAGCCCCTGAGGAGGAGTACCTGGCTCCCTTTCCCCTGTGCCCCCACAGCAGGACTCTCCTGCCCCCCTCACCCCCAGCTGTGAGCCTGTGTCTCCAGGCTGTGTGTGTGTGGGGGGGGATTAGGAAAGTGCCCCA